TTTTATAACCAAGTTTCAACCAGTTTATTACCTCAGGGCCACGGAGATCCGTGATTGAGAACAGAACAAAAAGGCGTCCTCCCCCATTTTCTCCTGCCTCACCACCATAGCAAAGGTCCAGCTCACCATCAAACCAGGCTCATGGTGGACAGCTGAGGCATGAGGGAGCCATTCTCCACAAAGTGCTTTATTTGAACAAGACTCAATCATGTGCTTCAGACTGTTTCAATGAGTTACATTAACATTCACTATTCGTTTCCAACTGAGGCAGTGTCAAAACTTGTGCTTAAAATACAAAAAATAAAATAAAAGCAGTGTCACTTTATAAGTTCATGTACCATCTTCGAGGTGTAAGCTACAGGTGAGTAAAGGATACTCTACAAAGCTAAAAGGGGGAAAAGAAGGTAGGAAGGCCAGGAAAAATGTTACCAATTACATGTGAGAAACCACTTCTGGTCAACTTCAGAAACAGGAATGCCTACAGATTGGCTGACTGTCCTAGTGGAAATACTCCAGATTTGTGCTCAGTCATCCCCCTTTGCCATCTCTTCCCTGCTTTACTCTCAGAGAAAGAAAGTAATTCAGTATCCCCTCCTCCATGGTATCATCTGACTTAGCAATGCTGCATGGAAAACCTTATTTAAAATATTCACTTTCAATTAAGAATCCAAAGCTCTTTTCCTTTCTCAGAAACTTCAAAAAAGACAGTTTCTCCCCTCTACTAACCACCTCCCACTTCCCCTACTCAGTATTTGGCCACCAGGAAGCCCTGCCATGCTCCACCATCATTCACGGATGGCTGGCGTCTCCAAGGTCCTAGGCTCTTTCTAGAAGGAAGCTTCTCTCCCTCAACACCCACAACTCTCCAGCCAGAGTCTTCACCCACCCTATTCTATACCCAGTTCACTGGAATTGTCAAGTCTCAGTCAGGTTAAGAAAATCCTTGATCCTGAAGAAAAATGGATGTGGACAAAAGATTAACATGTCTACGCCAAGGGTATTGTTTGTATTGATAGAAAACAGTTTTGAGTTACTAAGGCGAGAGTTTTATTATTGTTGCTGTTGCTGCCTTCTGGCTGAGAGGGTAAAAGAGCTTTCTCTTTGGCATCAACAGCCCTTGGAGGAATGATTATACTCTCGGGGTGATGGTCTTAGAATGATTTAACAAAGCAGGGAGCAATCCCAACACCTCAGCCAAGTAACCAAGTCTCCAACGCCATCCTCTAGTACTTGTTAGAATTCAGTTGTCCAGTGTTATTAATGTGCCCCAAATCTCCCTACACAGAGTCCCCATGGACAACGCATTCTGTTTTGTGCTGCCTGATCTCCTTAACACCACCACATTGAAAACTTGGTCATTCAAGTCAAACCACAGGCCCTCCCCTGTGATGTGAGCACAGATTAACACCATCATGTGCTTCTTCCATCAACACCTGTGGAACCGGCCCCAGCTCCTTCTCTGCCACCAAGCTCAACACTTTATTCTTTTCATTTGATCAGCCTGTAAACAAGCTGAATCCCTTTGAGAGAGAGAGAGAGAGAGAGAGAGAGAGAGAGAGAGAGAGAGAGAGAGAGAGAGAAGTACAGAGAAAAGAGAGGGAAAAAAAGAAAAGGATTTTTAAAAACAGGAGAAAAGCAAAAAAAACCCAACTTGCTTTTCATCTTAACCACATTTCAGGGCTCACGGCAAACAGCTGCAGAGCCCTATAAATCAGTTTAGCATTTCAAAGAATCAAAATTCACATGATACTGGTGGGAAAAGCTTAGCTCACTTTGTTGGACTCAAGACATCCCCCCTTGTCATCTGCCAACACCCATAGCCCAATTTCCTATGGCAAGAACAACATGGTTGAGACAGTTTCTAAATGGGCAGTTTAAAATCAGGATGAGAGGAGCAGAAGTTTATTGTACTGTGTTTATTCCTCTCCTCCTTTTTATTTCCAAGAAAGCACATTTTAGAACTTTGGGGAAGTGGGAATGGAAGAGTGGTAGGATAAGGGAAGATTTGGAATAACTTGGGCAACCAAAGGTTTATGATATTTAACACTAGTGGGATCCTAAGCCTAAATCAGAAATGGCTTTGGCATCCCAGATGTGGTGTCCAAAAAAAAAATCCCAAAACAAAACAGATAATTGTTAGTGATAGATAAACCTAGATACTCCTGCAAGAAAATGTACAGGGGCCACGAGAAGTCGGAGTATAGCTGGGAAAATATAAATGTACCTATAGATAAGGAATGTAGCAAGTTAAATTTTTGAAAAGACAAAAGTAGAAAATTTAGGGCACTTACTTTACTGTCTTGTTACCCTTGTTAAAACAGGGAACATCTTCCATCTTGGCCTCCCTCTCCGGACACACAAATCGTTTGCCAAGTTACGGATCTGGGCTGTAGAGAGACTGTTGGTTCCTACCTGGACCCCAAGCTAAGAAGTTTCCTCCAGAGATGTCATGTGGGATGATGACCATGAGGGAAGTTGACTTAGTAGCCTCAAATGGTGGGTAGCTTTGTGGGGCCCTTTATTCTCCTGAGGAGGAAACCAAAGCCTAGAGGGGTTGACTGACTGGCCCAACACCACACATTTATTAAAAGGCAAGGTCAGGATTCAAGGTCCAAAGTCAGAGCTCTTTCCACTCCTCGAATCACCCTCTCTAATGATGCTCATTACTCAAGTTGAAACAGAAAGATGCCAGATGGTCCTCAAACTAGTTCCAAAACTCAATAATGAAACCACAACAAGGCTGAATTTTTTAAAGGGAAAAGGAAGAAAGGAAGAGTCCTATCAAAGCTGGAAATTCTCATTCTGAACAACCATGGTGCACTCTAGCCAAGTGGGTGGGAGCTAGGTAGTACAGTGGAGAGAGCCATGGACTTACAAAATCTGCTTCAGGTCCTGATTAGCTGTCTGACCTTGGGAAGTCACCTTACTTCTTTCTGCCTCAATTTCCTCCTCTATAAAACAAGACTAAAAGCAGCACCTACCTCCCAGGATTGTGGTCATGAGGATGAAATGAGAGAAGAGATGTAAAGCTTTATGTAAACCTTTAAAGCATCACATAAATGCTGGTTATTATAACAGCTCTGTCTCCTATAGCTACCTCACAAATGAACTTTTGAAACACAACCCCTTTCTAAGCCTTCCTGTACATTCCCAACTTTGCTTTAATTGGCATTAGAGTTAAAAGTTTAAAATCTGGCAGTTTTCTCTTGAAGAAACAAGCAACAACATTGCACCAATTCGTGTATTCTAGGGATTTCTTAGCATTCCAATGATTCTGGTGGAAGCTGATTCTGTGGAGGGGTCACTGAATGACCTCCAAGGTCCCTTCCACCTTTTAGGTCTGATTCTTTGAGGAAGCCATGGTACAGTGGGAAGAATGGTAGATCTTGGTGCCCCCAAAAGATGGAATTCCAATCCCAGCTCTGTTACTTACTACCCCTGTGACCTCAAGTAAGTCAGTTAACCCTCTCTGGGCCTCAGTTTCCTCCTGTATAAAATGAGGGAGGTTGGACTGGACGTGCCCCATGGCTTGCTTCTATCCTACGTCCCCAGGTAGCAACAAAAATTCTAAACACACAGATGGTATCATTTTAAAATGTTGCTTCAGGTTCACACAAATGGTCTTATCCTCCTGGACAAAGGACAGGGAAGGATTTCTTTTTAATCACTAGAAAGGGGGTGGGAGGAAGTGCTGTCAATACTAATTAATGATTTTAAAAGAATGAAGCTTAAACCCTGAAACCTGTGGCCTCAGCTCAAAAGTCCAAGGAGATAACTGAGTGACAGGAGGCAAGGCCCTCTCTTGCTTCCTTCTTTTACTGCACATAGTAAATATGCTGCCTTCCACTTGAGGATCAAGGGGGAGGGCACTGAAGGCCCCTCCTCATAGAAACACACTGTCCATTTAGCACAGAGCAAGCAGAGGGTAAGAAACCATGATGTGGACAACACCCTAAGAGGAAACAGGCCTCTGCTTTGCAAGGAAATTCACTTTTGCCACTGAGCATAGTCTTTTCTCTAGCTTGATAATGAAATAGAGGAGTGAAAGGGAAAGTCCTCAGTCAGCTAAAAAGTGCCCCTCTTTCTTTATTCTAAGTTCCTAGGAGATCTAAGGTACCACCTCACACCTCCTAGCATGGTAAGTGGAAAGTGTGCTGAATTTGGAGTCAAGGGATCTGTGTTCAAATCCTAGTTTTGCCACTTACTATCCATGTGACTTTAAGCAAGTCCTAACCTCTTTGGACTTCAGTCTCCTCATCTATGAAATGAGGGAATTGGACTTGATGGCCCTGATGGGCCTCTCGCTTTAAATCTATGATTGTATAAACAGAAGGGCAGTTTCTCCAGACTCTGTGACTTTGAGTCCTATCTTGATGATGTAGGCACTGCTAATGATGCCAGTGATCTCAAAAAAGGCCCCAGTGCTAAAAATTTCACAAACCATCCTTAGCAGCACACATCCTGCTCCAGTCTCTATGTGTTCAAATGCACTCCTGAGCAGTCTTCCCCATTTGTCTTGCTATGAGTTTCAAGGGCCTTCTAAAACACTCTGGTTGGCATCTAAAAGTTCTGAGTAAGCCCTTCTTATTGAGAAGGCAGGAATGTGCTAGTTCATTTCTTGATTTATACAAAGGCCCAGTAAATACTTTGGATTAATTGTAGGAAGAGAAAATTCTTTTCATATTTAGGGACACCACCATAACGCATTACATACATTTTTGTTTTCAGGAAGGTCAAAATTGCCAGGCAACAAACCAGAAGCAAAGGGTCACACCAACTGTCCAGCTCTGTTAACTTCTTTTTGGTTCTGTCAGACACACTAGAAGAGTGGGCCCTGACTCATTGCTTTCAAAAGGAATTATGTAAAGGATGCTACAGGTGATGGGGTCAGGGTACAAAATGAGACATTTTTCAGAACCAGTGAGTAGGAAAATTGTTTTTTCTTGACTATACAAATTTGTTACAAAGAATTTGTTTTTCTTTTTTTTTTTTAATGAGGTGGGAGTAGGAAAGATAGGAAATATATTTTTAATTGAAAAAAATTTAAATTTAAAAACATTTTTTTAAAGAAATCCGGCAAGGATTTGTCCCTCAGCCAATTTTTGCACATCTGTCAGATCTAACTGGAGATCCTGACCTTGACTACTCCCATATTAAAGAGGTAAGTGTGATGTCATGGAAAGAGTTCTGAACCATTAGACCTGGATTTGAATCCTGACACACAGCTACCTGTGTGGCCTTCAACACTTCCTTCTGTTCTTTGTGCCTCAGTTTCACCCTCAGTGAAATAAAGAGAACAAATCATCTTTAAATGCTAATATGTAATAATTCCCCAAATGGTGGCATCATTTCGAATGAGAGTCACAGGAACCAGGATCTCTGAGAAACTAGCCTCTCGTCTAATCAAGAGCCCTAACTAATCCTGGAACCCTGGCCCTTACGTCAGCCTAAATCTATCAGAACACATGATCCAGGTCTGAAGCCATCATTTCTACCAGATTCATAGCCCAGTTGCTGGTTGTTTGGAATTTTTAAACTGCATGTGAAAATACTCTGAATATTAAAAAAGACCATTCCCCACTCCCACCCACTCCCAAAACACATACATACATCTCTCTTCTTCCCTCTTCCACCTACCCCAAACATACGTGTAAGTGCCCTCTCACACAAATGCACATACACACATATACACACAAACATTCACAAGGTCAGGTTCTCTAGACACCACAAATCAAGGTCCTCTCCCAGAGAGGGAAAAGAGCTGATTGGGAGTGTCCAAGAGCTGTCTGCTGGTGCATCTGCTTCTGGTCCAAGAAAAGGAGGGAGACTGTCAGGGGTTTTGTATTCAGAAAGTTCCAGGTTGAGGGAAGGGTTTTTCAAGGCCCTTCAGGAAGCCCCCATCCTTCTCCATCTCAGTATTTCTTCATGTAAACAAAGGCTTAAGACTCATCTGTTTCCAGAAGGGCCTCCAGGCCACATGCGGTTTCCCACCCCCGGTTTAGATGGTAGCCGGGCTTTCTGCTATCTCCTCTAATCTCTGTTCAATCATTAGTCTGAGCACCGTATATCTGTGAAAAGGACAATAAAGCATCACTTGTCAGCTACCTGCAAAATGCTACCTTCAACTAAGTCTTAGGGTTTCCAAGAGCTGGTAACATGATTTGTGGAATTTTCCAGGCTCCTTTTCTGGCATTAGACCTGTGGAGAGACCTTAGAGACAAAGTCTCATTTCCTTATATACCAGAAAGAGAACTCAACTTGAGGTCTAAAGAGACCTGGGTTTGAATCCCACCTTTGACAATGACACTGTGAGGCCATGGGCAAATCACTTCACCTTTCCTGAGCCTCAGTTTCTTCATCTGTAAAAGGAGGGTAATTGTATTTGTACTATCTATTTCATAGGTGCTTGTGAGGAAGAAAGTGTTTTATAAACTGTAAGGCACTATAAAGAAAAGCTCACCTAAACCCTCTGGCCCTCAATTTTCTTATCTGTAAAATAATAACAATAACTAGAATTTTTATACCATTTTATAGTTTGTGAAACATTTTACAAATATTATCTCACTTTATCCTCACAACACTGGGAGGTAGGTGCTGTTATTATTGCCACTTTACAGGTGAGGAGACTGAAATAAACAGAGGTTAAGTGACTTGCCCAGGATCATACAGCTAGTAAGCCTCTTAGGCCACATTTGAACTCAGGTCCTTCAGATTCTGGGACCTCCCTATCCAAGGTTTTGAAGTAGATCAGGTATTTTTAGCCTTTTTTGTATCATGGTCCTCTACGGCCAATTTGGGGAAGCCCATAGACTCCTTCTCGGAATCTTATTTTTAAATGCATAGAATAAAATACATAGGATTACCAAGGAAACAACTTGTACTGGAATACAGTTATAAAAATATTTTAAAAACAAGTTCACAGACCTGAGGTGAAAAACCCCTGAACCAGATGATTTCTAAGATTCCCTTCCATCCTGACATTCCCAAAATATATTATAATCAATAGTTTACTACAGGAATGTCTAATTGAGCAGTTTTCAAACTTTTGGGTCTCTGGACCCTTTCATGCTTTTAAAAAAGAGTCTCTCTGTCTTTTGTTTATGTGAGTCCTATCTATTAATAGTAATCATATTAGAAATTAAAATGTCTTAGTATTATTATGAAAATAGTTATGACCCCCTATTAGGGTCTCAAGGACTCCAAGAGGTTCCTGGCCCACACTTTGAGAACCATTGGTTTTGCACAAGGGTAGGGAACCTGAAGCCTCAAAGCCACCTGTGGCCTTCTAGGTCCTCAAGTGTGGCCATTTGACTGAACCTGTGAAGCTTGGATTCAGTCAAAGGGCCTGACTTGAGGACCTAGAGGGCCACAGGTTCCTCATCCCTGGTCTAGCTCGTCCCTTTGACAAAGACAACATTTTCAGATGTCAAGGACACGCCAGATTTCATCAGTGTGGATGTGTATTCCCTCTACTGATGCTGTCATAATAAATTGGTCAATCAACAGTCCCTTGTTAATACCTCCTATGTGCTACACACTATGCTAAGCACTAGTAGGAACACTAAAACAAATAACTCCACTAGAGCTAAGCAGGTGGTATTCAAGAGCTGCCATGGCTAAAAAAAAAAAAAGCAGTGTCCTGTGATTGAGGAGATGAGCCCTTCAGCCCTTCGCTAGTCTGGTCTTTGAACAAACACACCCCTGTGCCATGGGGCACAAGATGAACCAGAAATATGGGGGCAGCTAGATGGCACAATGGATAGAGCACCGGCCCTGGATTCAGGAGGACCTGAGTTCAAATCTGACCTCAACACTTGCTAGCTGTGTGACCCTGGGCAAGTCACTTCACCCCATTGCCTAGCAAAAAAAAAAAAAAGATGAACCAGAAATAAACTAGGATGTTCCAGATGATCTGGTCTCACAGAAGTGACTCAGTCTTGGGAGAAATCAACCTTGTTTGCTACTATGATTGTCATCCCCGCTCCTATATAACTGCTTATTAGGACAGCTTAACTCCAGGCATGAAGAATTCCTGACTCAGGTGATTTTCTTCCTTTCCCCCAAGATCTTTCTCTTTGTTGCACTTTCCCCCCACCCCTACCCCCACTCTCTCTTATTAATCATCCCAAGAACAGAGACGTTGCTTAATTAATGCAGTCATGTACATGAACAGACAAGAATATTGTAGATGGGCACATGGGAGGCAGGCCCGGAAAATGAACATTAAAAGCAGTCACTCATTCTTGACATAGATATATGCTGAAACCTGCATCATGGATCTGTGGCCCAGAAGATGAAGAAGGGCCATTCTGGAACATGAGGGATTCAATGCTGGGAGGCAGGAGGGGAAGAGATAATAAACTGAGATGAGGAATGGCAGTTTTTGCATTTCAGTCTCTCCTCCCTGTCTGGAGAGCCCATCCAGAGTTTGCAAAGGTCATCTTTCTGACAGTTAAGACCTGAGAGGCCCATGGCCAAGTAGGCACAGGCAACAGACTAAAACTAGAGCATGGTAGTGGAAAGGGCACTTGTCTTAGAGTCAGAAGACGCGAGTTCAAATTTGGGCTCCGATCCTTAATGGTACTGTATTGCCCAGGAATAGTAAAATTGCCGAGGGGGTTGAATTAGATGACCTCCAAAGTCCCTCTCAGCTCTAAATCTATTATTTAGGATCCCAGGATACTATCAAGGAAGGCCTTCAGCATGTTGGGAGGCTCCTGTGAGAAAGAAGACAAGGACCCGGCTGGCACAGGCTAAGAAAGCATGGTTCGGTTGTGGAAGGAATGTCTGTTTCAAAGAGGGCACCAATGCATTCAAAGAGTGAAAAAAAACCAGCAAACTTTTGACTCTTGGTTCCCACTTAACCTCCCTCTGCCTCAGTTTTCCATCCATAAAATGAGGATTATAACAAATGAGCCACACCCCAAGATTCTTGTGGGAAAAGTACTTGGAGAACTTGAACTAATATAATAATGTAAATTATTATCTAATTATGGTTAATTATGGCAGTGTTATAACATAATAATAATAAATCTCCCAAAGTGTATTTTTCCTTCCAAGGACTGTCCTCAGGTACCCCTCTGCCCTTGCCACCTGTAACAACTGCCCTGGAATGTGCACATGGCCACAAAGCAATGAATCAAAGCAGCCCCTCTTCCCACGAGGGCTCAGACACTCACTTGCGCATTAGTTTCTTTACTTCCCGGTCCTCTTCCTCTTTGAGTTTCTGAATGAAGCTCTTCAGGACTGGCATTTCGAATTTTATGTACTGGGCCACCTGGGTGGAGGGGTCAGAGAAAAAGGAAGAATGTGAGGGTAGGAAGAGGAAGCAGCTAGGTGGTTCAGTGCATAGAGCACTGGGCCTGGAGTCAGGAAGACTCATCTTCCTGAGTTCAAATCTGGCCTCCGACAATCACTAGCTGTGTGACCTTGGGCAAGCCACTTAACCTCTGTTTCTCTTAATCCACTGGAGAAGGAAATGGAAAACCATTCCAGTATCTTTGCCAAGAAAATCTTGGCAGACATGACTGAACCACCAAACAAGGGAAGGAAAAGTAAGAGAAAAAGAAGGGGAGGAGGAGATAAGTCTGACAAGGAAAAGTTCTCAGCTGACACATTAGCTCTAGGCTCCCCTGGGCCAACTTTCTCCCGGTGCTTAAGCAAATTGCTTTAGTTTTCCTAATCCTCTTAGCACCTCTTAGACAGTAGATTCAAGCTACTGCCCCTCCATTAGGCTGTCACAGCCTTATCTTGTACCTTATTTCTCTTCTGACTCATTGACTCTGAAATGAAACCAAAGCATCTTCCCCCAACTTGCTGATGGTGAGACAGGAAAAAACATAAGGCACAGCCTCCTTCAATCAGGAATCCCTCTGTTATCTCCCTTTAGGGTGGAACAAATGCTCCTCCACAGAGGTAGGATGGGGGCAGTAAAGATAACAGGAACCCAGAAGTCCTGGCACATACTTACTAGCAGTAAATGAGGCTGATCTCTTCCAGCACTGAGTCCTCTGTGAGACCAGATTGTCTGGAACATCTTAGTTTATTTCTGGTTCAGTTTGTGCCCCATGACACAGGTGGTGTGCTTGTTCAAAGACCAGACTAGCAAAGGGCTAAGGGGCTCATCTCCTCATTGCTCAAAGGGCAATGATTATTTTTTAGCCATGGCAACTCTTGAATAACATCTGCTTAGCTCTAGTGGGTTTATGATAGAATGTAGGCTCCTTGAGGGCAGGGATTGTTTAATCTTTGTAAAATATGAACTAAGAGATGGCTTTCCACTTTGAGGAAGTACACCGTGTACCTTGGCCACCTCCCATTCTATGACAAGAAAGCATGGCTCAAGGGATGTGAGATGATTCAACCACATCCAGGTTCCCAGGCAGAACTATAACACTTTGAAAGGTCTGGGATTTTACAGGCTCATATGATTTAGAGCTAGAAAGGACTTTAGACACCATCCAATCCAACCCCCTTGTTTTATAGATGAGCCAAATGAAATTAGAGAGAAGAAACGTGCTCAAAGTCAAATTATAAGTGAGCAAGGCAGAGCTTGAAAGCCAGCTCCCCTAGATTCTATCTAAATCCAATATTCTTTCTACTACTTTCTTCTTCTTCTTCTTCTTCTTCTTCTTCTTCTTCTTCTTCTTCTTCTTCTTCTACTACTACTACTACTACTACTACTACTACTACTACTACTACTGCTACTACTACTACTACTACTACTACTACTACAACTACAATGATCCTTCTCTCTCTTCACCCCCACTCCCCACCCCAACCTTAGCAGAGAATATCATGAGTTGATGTGGCTTAAAATATTCATCACCTTGTGGCCTGCCTGGTGATGAGCCTTTAAAAACTGAGCCAGGCTCGTCCTTCCACAACAGATACACACTCTATCCTGGTTCCATAACTGAAGTCTGCCCAGTGTGGAGGGCTCTGTGGGAGCTTATGCTGTCCTAGCACAGCCTTCAAGATCCCAAGGCCATCCCCATGCTACCATGAGGATTCAGAAATGGATCTCAGTGGAATCTCCAATGAACACAGGAAGGAAAAGCATACATGTCAGCATTAGGAGACTTTCTGCTTCCATATCTCAGGATGGACACCAGGGGGCAAAAGCCAACTATCTTCCACAACAATCTCTATGAAGCAGCCCTGTAACTCACACCAATATCTCTTTGGATTCTTTCACCAGCTAGATAATGAACAAACATTATTTCTGAGCTGATTGTGAGTCACTGATTCAAAGACAGACCCGAGGGTCCAGTCCTGCCACTGACAGCCCAACAGAGTGAGACATCTCAGTAGGATAAACAACATACAAACTGACTTCTGCCCTGCCAGTCACTCACTGAGAGCTTGAGGGCTTCATGCGCACTGAATGTCCAATCCCACAGCAAGCACTGGTCTCCTCTGCCCAATGGCACAGGCCATAGTTTTGCCCCAAAGAGAATCAACAATTCCCTGGGACAGGATCTTGCTCGAGTCCACATCCCATAGTAAGCACAAGGTTTTGCAACAAGGGAGATCTGGAAAGACTTACAGGACAACCGGTGTCAAAGGGTTAGTCAAAGAAAGGTCAATTACATAAAATTACACAGGAAATAGGTACAGAGTCATCCTGGCTGGGCAGATGACAAGATGTGTGTGATCCCTGGCCTATAGCCCAAGGGCTGTTCTCCTGTGCATGCACCAAGCCCAACCCCAGAGCACAACCTGTACTCCAGTGATTCTGTGCTACTGTAACAGCCAGCTGGACACGGGTGATAGGGGCTAAATACCAGCTTGCTAAGGAAGGGTTGTTTTCAAAATCAAATGAGGTAGGTGAAAGGACTTTTAAAAGTACAATTATACACACACACACACACACACACACACACACACACACACAGAGTATTATTTTTCTCAGAAGTAAGAAAAAGCTCCCTGACCCTTCTGTTGCTGACTTTGAATCCATTTGCCCACTTTTAAGCAGGAGATGGCCTTAAAATGCCCTGGAACCTTCTGCTCTTCTTCTCCCATCTTTTTTCATTGACCACAGTGGTAGATGGGGAAGAAGGTGGCATAATGTGCTACAGAGAAAACTAGTTTTGAAGTCAAAGGTCCTATATTCAAATTCTGGCTTTGCTGTTTATTATCTACGTGACATTGGACAAATAACAACCTCTTTTGACCCCAGTTACAAGTAATTAGGTTTGTTAACCTCAGAGATACCTTCTAGTTCTGAATTCTATCATCCCGTATTTCTCATCCTTAGATAATTTTTCCACCTGGTTCCTCTTTTCTCTCTGGTCTTCAACCCTGTGAGCTACCCAACTTGCAAATGCTTCAGAAATGGCAGGGAAAAGGGATAGTCAGGAAAGATGTTCAACAAAACATATGGATGCAAAAACTTGGGGATGAAACACAAGCCAGTAACATTCCATAGGTCAGATGGCCTGTCCAAAGGTAACTCACATCATAGGTGACCTCTTCCACTTGGTCCTTTTCCATAAGGAAGACTTTAGACACCTGTTCACATGGGCCTTGGAGGATTCTGGCAATCAGGGGGTAATCTGTGACCTTTAGCTTCTGTTTCTCTGGAATAGATAATCATAGGGCCAGTCATTCCTCTGAGCACAAAGCTCCTCAGTTCAGTCCCACCTTCTCGCACTCCCACAGCTAACACTGACTCTGTGGCATTCATGCCTCCTTAGGACAATCTGAGCTAGACCCTGGGCAAGTCACTTAACCCAGTTTGCCTCAGTTTCCTCATCTGTAAAATGAGCTGGAAGAGGAAATGGCAAACCACTCCAGTATCTTTGCCAAGAAAACCCCAAGTAGGGTCAGGAAGAGAAATGCACCACCTACAACAAAAATGGGGACAATAATAGCTCTTCATGGTGTTGCCAAGAGGATCAAATGAAATCATATGTGTAGAATGCTTGTAAATTTTAAAGTGATATGTAAATGTTATCTGTTATCATTGTCATCATTATTAACTAATTTAAGTGTCTGACTACGAAGTAATGAAACTTTTAATGTCTGAGATTCCTTCCATCTCCTCGGTATGTATTCTGTATGTCCATAATGTTGTCTTCCCCATTAGATTATGAGCTCCTTGAAGGCAAAGAGCTGTTTCTGCCTCTGTTTGTATCCCTGGTACTTGGCACAATGCCTGGAACACAGTAAGCACTTAATAAATGCTTACTGACTTGACTTTTTGAACAATCATGTATGATCAAAGGTTCTCAGGAATGTAAGATCATCACCATCCATTGTACAGATTGTAAAGATGAGAAGACAGAAGCCAAAAAGCCAAGTATAGAGGTGAGATTCGAACTCGTGTGTCCTGATACTAAAACCAGAGTTTCCTCCCCTGGACCTCACTACACTATTTAAATAGTCAAAGGAGTTCTGTCTTCCAAAACAGGCACCATAGAGGACCACACTCCATTGAGGCTACCAGGGCTCAAAATGTTCCTGGAGCCAATTCTTCTTCAGCCGCTGTTCTCAAAGATTATCGATGAGGCACACAACAAAAATCAGCCCCAATCCTTTTTAATCATAGTTCTATTTCTGACCCCAAATACTCTTCCCCAGCTTGATCACCAGACTCCCTTCCTAGTAAGTTTGGGCTACTTTCCAAAATCAAACTCAATCCATTTCAATAAACATTTATTAAGCACCTAGTGTGTGCAGGGCATTGTGTTAAATGATGGGGGAGAAAAGAAGCCTTTGAGAAGTTTACACTCTAACAGAAGATAAAAATTCATACATAGGTAGCTAGAATACACAACGCTGGAGGGTCATGCTCCAGTGATGCTACCAGGGCTCAAAATATTTGGGAAACCAGCACGTTCAGTGCATTAGAGTGGTACAAAACAAAGCGCTATGGGAGGTCTGAGAAGGGAAAGATCATTTGCGACCCGGGAAGGCTTCACGGAGCTATTAAAAAAGACCAATGTGGATGCAGAAGGAACGGAACAAAAAACCTAGATTTTTAAAAGCCACACACAGAAGTCAGAAAGAAGGATAGGTAGTGGAAGGTGAATACAAAAAAAAGTATCTACATGGCAAAGTCTTGGGAGAAGAGCATCAAGCATAGTAAAGCTCAGAAAGAGGAGAAAAGCTGAGAAAGCTAACGACAACGAAAGGGTTGGTTGTTTCTTAAAGCTATCATCTCACTCAGAGTGGATGAGAAAATGATAACTTATGACAGAGATGGTAATGATATTCAACTTTAATGTTTCTTTTGTTTCTCCTACAAAAGAAAATAGTCTTAGTAGGGGAAGGACAAACACAGCTAGATGACCACTTGGGGGATATGATGCATAGTAGCTAGGTGGACTCGTGACTGGTCAGGTCAGAAAGACCTGAGTTCAAACTCTGCCTCTGATACAATCTCTGTGACTCTGGCAAGTCACTTCCTGAGCCTTAGTTTCCTCATCTGTAAAATGGACATAATAACAGCACCTGATTTCCTGAGCTGTTGTTGAGAATCAAATAAGATAACTTATGTAAAGTGCTTTATAAATGCTAGGTACATATGGGCTGGACTACATGTCCTCTGATGTTACTTCTGACTCTGAGATCCTGTGACCTTGTGATCCTGAGGAGCTAGCAGGGGTGGGAAACATAGCTAGAACATGAGGTGGAGGAATTTAACATGGAATGAAAAAGAAAACAATGACATTCTATTCAGAGAATACAGCCTGAGCAAAAGTATAGAAATAGGAAAACACAACTCCTATTTGGGAAGGTAGAAAATGACCCAGTTGGGCTGCATCATAGATTGCACGGAGGGGAAAAAACATCAGGAAAGGCTGGAAGATAAGGTAGGACCACAATGTGGAGGGCCTTGGATTCTAGAGGATGGAGTGGGAACTTTACCTAGAAGTTAACAGGACAGCCTAGTTTTCTGACCAGGCTAACCAAGCCACTGTTTGCTTGTTTGTTTTCCTACACTTTCCTCCTCTTTTGGACAAGGAGATAGTCTTTGGGTAACAGACATGTAGGGGATGCAAGGCAGAGGTCATGCAGAGAGCTTGCCTTCCCATGTTCCCTGTTCTCTCACTGGCCCTCTATTCTAGAATCCTGGGCCATTCTATGTCCAGGAGCCTGGGCCTTGGGTGGCATCCCTAGCTGCCTCTCACTAGGGCTGCTTGTCTGGCTTAAATTCTGTGAGCTAAGGAGTGACATGGCCAGATCTACACATACAGAACAAAGGCCTGCCACCACAAGGAGCTCAAAAGGACAAGCCCTAACTAAGGGTTTGAATGTAATCTTACATGCAAAGTCGATCTATAAGTAATAACTAGCAAAGGAAGAAATGGTATTTTTAAAAAGTTGACTTAACAGACATTTTCAAGCTTACCTCCACTGGTATGAACGATGTACAAAGCAAATTCCTCTGCAGAATTTTCAATCTGGAAACAAAGGAAATAATTTCAAGAAGGGTTGTTAATCATCAACACGTATTTATTAAGACCCTATCATAAACTGTTAGATTTTTTAATGAAGCCATTTGATTTCAATTCCCTCTTTTCCCATTTTCTTCATATCAAAAACCCTTGACGTCATTTCTCACTCTCTCTGTTCCCCTAGTCTCAGACAAAGAGTTATCCCATCTCCTTACCAAGGCCAACCCCTCTACATGTGTACTTCACCTCAGCCCCTTCTATCTTCTCCAACACAATACAACCTCAATCATCAACTTCTCCCTATCAACTAGTCCTTTCCCTGCTGCCCTCAAATATACTCATCTTTAAAAAACCTTTACTAGATTCTACCATCCCCTCAAGCTATTGTACTACATCTCTCCTCCCGTCCTTAGATATACTCCTTGAAAAGGCTCAATGCTTACGCTTCCTCTCCTCTCACTCCTCAACTCTGTAATCTGGCTTCCAGTCTCATCACTCAACAGAAACTTAGTTATCAATGATCTTGTAATCGTCCAATCCGATGGTCTTTTCTCAGTTCTCCTCCTTCTTAACCTATCTACTGAATTTGACACTATTGTCCACCCTCTCCTTCTGATAACCATTTCTTCTCTGAATTTGTAGGTTTCTCCTTCTACATGGCCAGTTGCTCCTCTCTCTCCTCTGCTGGCTCATTATACATATGACACTAGCTAAATGTGCATCTTTCCCAAGGTTCCATCCAGGTCTTTTTCTCTTCTCTATTCTCTTCCTCCTCCTCTTTTTCCTCTCTCTCTCTCTCCCTCTCTCTCTCGCTCTCTCTCTCTCTCTCTCTCTCTCTCTCTCTCTCTCTCTCTCTCTCTCTCTTTCTCTCCCTCCCTCCCTCCCTCCCTACATCTCCCTCCCTCTCTCTAGCTCCCTCTAACCTCATCAGCTCCCATGGGTTTAACTGTTATCTTTATACAGATGATTCACAGATAAAGACACAAATATAGATATATATGTGTATAGATGTGTGTGTGTGTGTGTATATATGTATACATACATATATTATGTACACACACAAACACACAAACACATAGACACCCAATCTTTCCCCTGAGATTCACACCTGCATCACCAATTGCCTACTGAACATTTCAAAATGGATGTCCCGTATGCCTTTCAAATTCAATTTGACTTAAAATGAATTCATTATCTTTTCAGGGAGCAACTTGTGGCACAGTGGATACAGCACTAGGCCTGGAGTCAGGAAGACTCAAGTTCAAATCTGGCCTCAGACAATTACTAACTGTGTGACTGTGGGAAAGTCACTTAACCTCAATTTGCCTCAGTTTCCTCAACTGTAAAAAGGGGATAATAATAGCATCACCTACCTCCCAAGGTTGTTATGAAGATCAAATGAGATAATATTTGTGAAACTCCCTTAGCACAGTAAATGTACACTGCAGGTATTTAATAAGTGCTTATTCCCTTCCTCTTCCCTTTTCTCCCAGTACCAGACTTGCAAGGCCGCCCTTGGCAAACACATGTTCCCTATATATGTGCTCCCTCTCTCTAAAGGTCTTATATGTATAAGAGAGTGCACCCCTGATCTTGAGGAGTTGTTTTGCAACAACTGTTCTTGATACGCTTTCTCATAAATTCCTTTTCTAAAAGTCAATGAGTTCAACTGGCTGACTGATAATGAGAAGCACCCTGGTGGGGGGGTTCAGGAACTATAGTGTTAGAAGCTTTAGTCTCTTCTCCATCCTGTTCCTGATTTCTTCCTTTTCTTCCTTCCTATAACCCCTCAGGGTTACTCCTGAAATCCCAAGGAGAGTTATAGCTACCTTCTAAAGACCCAACCTGACAGTGTGAGTGGGGAGTGAGTCCAGAGAAGACACTACTACACTTATGTATGTACTTGTCTCTTTCGTTAGACTATAAGTGGTTTGCCATTTCCTTTTCCAGCCCATTCTGCCGATGAGGAAATTGAGGTAAACAGGGTTAAATGACTTGCCCAGGGTCACAAAGCTAGTAAATGTCTGAGGCCAGATTCGAACATATGAAGATGAGTGTCCTTTACTCTAGGCCTGGCACTCTACCCACTGCACCACCTATGTTCCCACTGCATTGGCATAATGGATAGAGTGCTGAGTGTGGAGTCAGGAAGACTTGAGTTCAATCTGGCCTCAGACACTTATTAGTTTTGTGACCCTGACACAAAAAAATTGTCTGTTTGCCTCAGTTTCCTCAATTTCGAAGTATGACTCATAACAGCACCTCCCTCGCAGGGTTGTGATCAAATGAGATAATAACTGTAAAGCACTTAGCACAGTGTTTAGCACGTAGTATGAGGCTTAACAAATGCTTTTTCCTTCCTCTCTAGATTAGAATGTAGAATCTCAATGTCTTGACTCTCTAATTTCTCGTATCTATGGATCCTACTCTCCCTGCCTTTGGAGGAGGAGCCCTATGACTCTACCCATGAGGATCTTTTGGCAAGGCCAACCACTGCCATGATACTTAGTAAAAAATCCTGCCATGAGCCTCCTTCTGCACACCTACCATCGACCATCGACCACTGCCCAGAGGCTGTTGGTCAGAACAGCTCTTGAAGACCACTCACCTTAAATTTATTGAGTAGGAGCTTGAGGACCTGAGGCGTTGTCATGGTGCTGTTAATCCTGACATTGGTGATGGAGCCGTAGGCTGGGGTGAACACAGAGGTCTGCCAACAGAAGAGCACACTACTGCAGTTCTCATTAATGAGTCCAGTGATGGGGGAAGGAGGAGAAGAGGGGAAAGAAGAAAGGTCATATTCCAGCTGTGCATCCACAGCTGGAATACGACCAGAAGGTCTAGAAGCCTGGGGACAATCCTCTAGTGACCAGGGCTTTCTGGGCAGCTCCTCAGGTCTCCCACAGGACCAGGGGAACCAGGCCAAGCCCAAGAGACATCAGCAGGGTTAAAGACAAAACAACTTCGAAATTTAAATGTCTGTGAGACAGACAAATGGTTGTGCAGATTGCTGCTTCTCCCTGTTGTATCACCATGGGGGAGGAATCTACAGGCTAGTTAACACAGTAGCTACAGAGGCTTCATTCATTCTAGGAATCCAGATTCCCTATGTGGCTGGCTTTTTATAGGAGCTCTACAGAGCCCAAGAGGCCTTAACTTTAATACCCCTTTCCAGTGGTGATTAGGTATTTGATGACCACCCAAAGGAAGAATAAACAGAGAGTGCCCTTCTCTTTTAGCTATAAAACATATCATTCTGTGGCTCTGTATCATATAGTTGGGCTTCTTGGGCAGTATTTATTCCGACAGAGAAAACAGAAGGGGCAGGCTGTCAGGGGCTGACTCTCTCTTATTCTGACTCATTTGTCCTCCCTTGCCTTTTTGACTTTATTCCATGAAAACCAGTCCCATATGTGCCCCTCCATAAACTGCCTATCTTGTAGGGAGATTTGCACAAGAGGATAATGTATGTAAAGGCTGTGTTTTATAAGGCATTGGTGGTTTTTGAGGACACCTTACTAAATATGCCCAACCATTGGTAGATTGGGGACTTCTACAAGCATGGCTGCCAAAATGGTATACTTGGGCCAGTTTCATTCCTAAGTGCTTGTAGAAAGCATCTGAGCAGTAGCTACATCTGCTCCTAGCCAACCCACCAGTCTAAAATTCAGAAAGTCAACACGTTACCTCCCTGCGCTGTGCTATCCATGGACCCCACGCCCTTCTTCTTTTGAAGTGGACCTTCCATCCATAGCCCTGACTACAGCTATCTCTTGTCTTAAGAGAAGACATTGCTTCTTTCTCCCTGCCCACCCTCCCACTCTACCTTATGGTTGTAGAAGTGGCCATTGATGGAGAAACGGTGCCGCTTGATGCGCCGCTGGTCACTAGGGGTGCGCACGTTGCCACGGCGCCGAACCCCAACGTCACTGTGTGTCCTCATCAGCTGAGGTGTGTCTTCTTGTAGGGCCTTCAGGTCTCTGGTACCTGGGAGAAAAGTGATATATTATGAGCCCCACTTAAGGATCTGACCATCATCTTCACCACTGGCCACATTTTCAAAATGTCATGCCTACAAACATACATCCTAATAAAAACTACACTGACAACTCCTAGACCTCTCTTTCTATCAAAAAAATCTCAAGAAATTAGGAAATGGATGACTCCTGCCTTCTCCACAGCCTCTCTGTAGGCAGCTAGTTGATGGCACAATGGATGGAGTACTGAACTTGGAGCCAGAAAAACCTGACTTCAAATCTGGCTACCTCTTGACTTCTGTTTGCCTCAGTTTCTTCTTCTGTAAAATGGGGATAATAATAGCAACTACCTCTCAGGGTTGTTGTAAGGATCCAAGTAAAACACCATGCTAACTATGATTATTATTTCCTAGCTTCCATGACTCTCCTCCTACCTCTGTCCATTTCTCCTGTCCCCTGGGCTGGGACCTCTCCCTCCTGACCTTGAAACATGAGTGTCCCCTGCAGTGCAGGAGCTTAAAATGATTCTGGCTTCCATAATCTGCTCTAAGCTATTTTTCCAGGCTCATTTCATATTATTTCCTTCCACAGCCAAATTAGACAACTCTCCATCCCACTTGGAACATGCCTTTTATGTCCTTTATCCTTACTTATTCACTCCATCCCATCACCATCTGCTGAAGCACCTTTCTTTCAAGGCACAGTTCAGTGCCTGCCTCCTCCATGAAGCCCTCATGACCACCCCAGGTGAAAATGACCTCTCCATCCACAAAGTCCTCTTTACTTTAATCTTTCTATCCTTTAAAGTTATCTTAAGAGGTAGCATGGCACAGGAGATAGAAAGTTGACCCCAAAGCCAGGAAGGACTGGGTTCAAGTCTTGCCTCTTGACATACATTGGCTATGTGACCCTGGGTAAATCACTTAATCTTGCCACGCCCCCAACCAACCAAGACTATAAATTTAAGAACAATTGTCAATCTGCCTTACAAGAGGTAGTTTCCTCTTTGAGTACGCAAGTCCTTGACAGACGAAATCGCTGGTCTAAACCAAAACATACAACTAAGGCCCAAAGATGGCAAAAGTCTCTCCTTTAAAGTGAAAAGCCTTACAGCCAATATGATAAAAAGAGATCCTTCAATTTAGCTGGATTTCCTTCAATACTAGAGATAGTATCATGTACTTGAAAGCCCACTAGAATAAGAAGACCTGGGTTCAAATCCTGTCTCCAACACTTATGATCTCTGTGACCACAAGGAAGTCAGGACCACTAGGATTCTTCCAGCTCTAAACCCTGTAACTTCCTTAGAGTTCATGGGTCTGACCTAGCTCTAACCTGGACCCAACCTTTCATATCCTCCTTTTCCCCAATCAACCGGGATCAGTTCTTGTTCCTCTTCTCCTAGCTATTAATAATAGCTAGTATTTAGAGAGTTAAAGTTTGCATTATCTCATTTGAGCCTAATACTTGTGATGTAGGTGTGTTATTATTATTATTATCTCCATTTTTACAGATGAGGAAACTGAGGCAGGCAAAAGTTAAGTGACTTGCCCAAGGTCACATAGCTAGGAAGCGTCTGAGGCTGGATTTGAACTCAGATCTCCTTGACTCCAAGCCCAGCACTCTATCTACTGTGCTACCTAGTTGCCTCAAGAAAAATTCTTGCCACTTTTCTGAGTTTACAGCTCCCAATGGCCCTAGAAATAACATTTTCCTAAGTTATAAATTTCTTACTTATCTAGGAGAATAAGCAGGTAGAAGAATATTCTGAAGTTACATCTCCCAGCCTCTGCTCCCATGAAATAGTCAGGGAGATCCCCAGAAAAGGAGAGTGAGAGGGACTGCACTGGGGCTCAGCTGGGATTTGGAACCCCTGGGCCAGCTTGCTTTAGGGCCCAGAGGAAAGTCCCACGTGGGAGCAGTCCTACAAAGAGGCAAAGTTGTCCACAGGGCATGATGTAAAGGGCAATCTTCCTCAATGACACCTGAAGGAGGCAGGTGCCAAGGCCTGACTCCCTAACTCAGACTCTTAACAACTCTCCACTACCATTTTAACTTTACCCTAGAGGGACTCCAGCTATGAGTAACTGACTGTCATTAAGCAGACAAGCAATGAATCATTCCTTTGGCTTAAGTAAGGCTTTTCTCTAGAAACCACTTTTTATTTATTGTCAAAGCAACGCCAAGATAAAGAACATATTAAATGTGATCCGAAGCCCCTGCCACTTCAGTGGAGCCAAACTGACTCATCAACTTCTTCAACTACAAACTTGAGAAACTCAGGAACAAGGATATATCTGGTGGTAGTCTGGCATGGAGGGAGAGGTTTGGGGACAGGGAAGACAAGGTGAGGAGGGAGAAGAGAACAGAGGGGAGTGGAGGGAAGCCCCACTCATTCACTTCCTAGAGTTCTCTAGGGCTAATCGGCATCCCACATGGTCATAGCATCTGGGGAACTAGAAATCCAGGCCCTCTTCTGGCCTAGTGAATTTCTCTAAACTGATCTGATCTGTACTCACCAGGGAATGCTCCCTATACGTGGTATAAACCTTTTGGAGCCTGGACCAAAGGCAGAGGATGTGTTTGCTATGAACAATGGTATGTGGCTCAGCAGAAGGCTTTCTAGGACCTCTCTGCTCATATACAGTCCAAAGGCCATGGTCTACAGGCTCATCTTAGGAGCATAGATTTAGAGCTACATGAGAAAATCTAAGTCCACACCCTCTCATTTTACAGATGAGAAAACTGAAGCTAAGACAAGTAAAGTGGACTGTAGGAGATCAGGGTAATAGGTGGCAGAGACAGGATTCAAACCCAGGTCCTTAGACAAAGAATCCAGGGCTCTTTCCATTGTTCCATTATCTGACATAGAGCATTGTCCTCAGGACCTGGCACATAGCTCTTGCTGCACCCTCCCTGGAAATAAAGTGAGGCCGTCTCTTATAACCACTTCTTATCCCCCACCCCCAGACAGAAGAGGTCTGAATCTGAATCCCTGTTATGCTACTTATTAGCTGTGTAACTACAGAGAAGTTACTAAACCTCTATGAGACTCAGTTTTCCGCAATGATAGAGCAAGGAGCCTGGAATCAGGAAGAACTGAGTTTGAATCTGACCTCAGACACTTAAGAGCTATGTGACCTCCAGAAAGCCACTTAACCTTTGTCTGCCTCAGTTTCCTCATCTATATACTGGGGATAATAACAGGGTCATGGTGAGGATGAAGTGAGAGATAATAATTGTAAAGCACTTAGCACGATGCCTGGCACATAGTATGCACTACATAAATGTGAGCTATGATTGTATATGATAGTAACATCACTCAAGGATTCAAGCTGACCTCCTGAATAAAGTGAGCCTATTCTTTCTCCATTAAAAAAAAAAAAAGATCGCTGCTTCATGTCTTGGAGCTACAAAAGAGAAAAAGCATGGGAAGAGGTGGAGAGAGCGAATTAGTGATAGAGCCCTCCTAGACACTCTGGCTCCCCACATAATCCTGCCCCTTTATGGGCAGGATTATATAGGTTGGCCCCTCCAATTTTCCCCAAGCCTGAAACTACTCACTTCTCAAGCTAAGCTGAGCCAAACTCTGAGAAAAAAAAAATCAGGGAAACACACTGGCATTGACAGCTAGTATCATATCTCTTAATGGGCCTGCCCCGATGACCCTCCCTCCCACTTTCCCCAATCAAAGTTTCACCTGTTGGGCTAAGCCTCCTGTCACTTCCAGGGGCTGCATCCGTGTCTGTAATCTGAATATCTGGGATGGCAACGGGCTTCATCATGGACCTACGAGACAGAAAACAGAATGTGAGCTCCTCGATGGAGTTATTTCGCTTTTGTCTTCACTTCCCCGGGGGCCTGGCACGCAGTAGGGGCTTAATAAATGCTTGCCGAATGGAACAGAGGGGCCAGTTCAGCCCACAGCCAGGCAGCTGACATTGGGTTTCCTTGGCCCTTTCAGCGGTGACAAAGCACCCTCTCTCGCACCGGCTCTCAGAATGGCACTAGCACATGGCAGGGAGTGGAGGGACGCTTCCTACTGGGCTGGCCCAACTCCCAACACCTGAGGATGAAGGCCACCTACAGAAAAGACAAGGGATTCTGGCACTCAACATCTGCAGCAATACAATTGCCCATTTCATCAAACCCCCAGCCTGAGAACAAAACCAATTTGTTGCCTGTGGTCCAGGCTCTGAGGCCGTTTGGGTTGTGCTGTTTATTTGGGAAAACGCTAACAGAGCTCCTTTGTTCACCAGGATGACATCCTGGAAAGGTTTCATCTCTGCGGGACTAATAACTCAGGGGCTGCTTTTTGGAATCTTAAAAAAAAAAACCCACCTGGCAAAAATCAGGCCTTGTGGAAAAACAGAGTACGGACAAACACCTGGTGGGTATAATCATGCCTCTTACGTTTCTCAGTCTTCTCTGAGACAAAGCCCATCCGTGGGCTGGAAGAAAAGAAAGCTGGGTACCAGACAGCCTCTTGGTGACCTATGACCTTGGTAAGGTAGGGTCACACTACGTCCTCTTTCCCCAAAGCCACGGGGAGAGGGAAATGGGAGAAAACACAGAGCAATGCGCTCAAAATCATCAAGGAAGCTAAAAAAATAGGTCAGGCAGGGGAAAAAAATATCATTTGGGAATATCTGAAGCGTGATCAAAAAGCACATATTTCACATAGTGTAGGGGATGAAATTTTTAAAAGGGAAAATTAAAGCTGAAACTATGAATTCCTGAGCAGTCCATAAAAGTCTTCTGAAGGAGATCTCCCACAAGGGAAATTTCCTGACCTCATTTCCATCTCATGAGAGGTAGAGGACGAAGAACAGACACTGTGGGAGCTAAGGGGCTAGAGGATGCTGCTCTGTGGAGAAGTAACGTGAAGGAGAGAAGGAGGCAGGGTGCAGCTGACACAGGCCTAGGCTGGGCCACTGCCAGAGCCTTCTCATCCAGACTGAGGCCCTCCCACAGTGAGCCATGTAGACCGGCCATAAAATGGACTGGGCCATACCAAGGTCAGTGCTTGTGATGTGCTCCAGCTCCCATGATCTCTCCTTTCTCACTTCCTCCCAACAAAGCCCAAAAGACAAAGCATTTATATTTGAAAGGGATTGTAGAAGTCACCAACCTAACCTCTTTATTTTACATAAAAGGAAACCGAGGCCCACAGAGGTTATATCTTATCCAAGGTCACCCAATGGATAAATATATTAGGTGACATTTGAATCTAGGACTTCCTGACTCCAAGTCCAGCTTTTATCCACTACCTCATGCTGGGAACAGATTGGTGAAAAGAGAGAAGGGATGAGGTCCTGGTTAGGGAGAATCATTGGATTTCATGACCCAAGTCCAACTTTCTATCCATTACCCTATGCCAGGAACAGACAGGGGGAAGAGAGAAGAATGCATGAGTTTGGGGTTAAGAAGAACCATTCAAGACCCTTTCTTCCCCTACCCAAACTTTTGGTGCTCATGAGCACGCACACACACGCACGCACGCACACACACACACACACACACACACACACACACACACACATGCAGAGGAATACACATATAAGGCTATCCCCCTGAGAAGGGGCTGCTACATACTGACCCATGGGCTCCCAGGTTGCAGCCAGAGTGCCAAGAGGAAGAGGAGGGAGGGGGCCTAATCCGTTCATTGTCATCTTGCATCTGCAAACGGATAGGCCGGCGCAGGCCCCAGAAGATGTTCAATAATCCCTCCACAATGAACTCATCTTCTTCCTGCCCCAGAAAAGCAATGAGCTCATCAAAGCCTAGATGAGGGGACCCTGTGCCCTTGCCCTCTTGACCAAGTCGTCCATGCCCTAAAGCCTCACCCGACTGCTATGGAAGCCAGATTCCATTCTCACTGAACAAAGAACAAATGTATCTTGTGAGCCCCAGGGCCAGGGCAGAAGGGCCAGGGCAGAACAAGAAGTATATAGTAGATGAATCTATTATGACTATGGGAGGGAAGAACAATTAGCCAGTTCATGAATCTGGCCTCTAGTTATGTATTTGAATGATGGTCCTTTGCTAATTTAAGTAAAACCCTAGGTTTGATTGATTAAAAGTGATAGTTAAGGTCCCCACTCTGAAAGTCAATCATGCTTTGGGAAATTCAGAAACATTATCATTAGTTCTTTTAAGGAAGGCAGAACTTCTTAAGTAAAAATACACAAGTGGTAAACTTTCTCTTCTAAAAAACAAACAAGACCTAAACATTCAATCAACTAGTGTGTGTGTGTGTGTGTGTATACATATATGTGTGTGTGTATATATATATATGTGTGTATATACATATACACACATACACACCTACATAAAGATAGATAGATAGATAGATAGATAGATAGATAGATAGATAGATAGATAGATAGATAGATAGATATACACACACATATATAATCTCCTCACAGACCACAGCTAAATATTAAACAGGGATCCCAACCTTCCCAGCTCAAATGCTACCTCCTCTAGGTCACTCTTTCCTGCTCTTTCCTGAGCTAGAAGTATTTTCTCCCTTAAATGAACTCCCAGTCTACTTTATTGGTATCTGTGTGATAGCCCCTATCAGAGCCTAGCTTGTGTTACAAGTACAGTATTTCTGTAAATGTCCTCTCCCTGATTGGTCAATAAACAACACAGTGAAAAAAGCTGTGGGTTTGGAGTTGAAGGCCTGCCATTTCATACTAGTATGACCTTTGATAAATCACTTCCCCCTCTCTAGGCCTGTTTTCTCATCTGTAAAATGGGGTGGTTAGTACCAGTAGTATCTACTTGGGTTCAGATCCCACCTTTGACATTTACTAGCCATGTGACATAAGCAGTCACTTAATGTCTCTGAATTTCAATTTCCTCATCTGTAAAATGGGAATAACAACACCTATACTACCACACCTACCCTATGGGATTGTTTTTGCCTTGCCCAAACCTGTGATTTCACAGGATCATTGTAAAGCCCAAGTGCATAAATCTATGTAAAATGTTCTATATACATAAATGTATACAGAATATGTATACAGAATACGTATTGACATAAATGTCAATTGTTTTATTATTGTTGTTGTTATAATAATAATAACTACTTATAGAGCGCTGTTAAGGTCTGCAAAGCACTTTACAAATATTTTCTCATTTGATCCTCACAACCACCCTGGGAAGTAGGTACTCTTACAATCTCCATTTTACAGATGAGGAAACTGAGGCAGACAGAGGTTAAATGATTTGCCCAGGGTTACACAGCTAGCAAAGTCTAAAACTAGATTTGAACTCAAGTCATTCCGATTCCAAGTCCCACACTCTATCCACTGAGCTACCTCATTTACCAACCCCTGAAGGGATTAAATCAGATAATCTCTGAAGTCCCTTCAGCTGTAGACCTTATAAGCCTCCATGCTTCAAAGATCTGGGACCTCATTATGCTAAATCTTCCTTCCCCTAATACAGCTCACAAGTCTTCAATGATTTAGTAGATGGATTTAAAAAGAGTTTCTGTGGCCAAATGATTCATCACACAGCAGCTAAATTGGTGCTGAACCTTTCTGCATTTATCCTGCCTGGTCCTCAAATGACAGGCAGACGGTCTATTCCCAGGCCCGACCTCAAAGCCTTTCCAGCTTGGCAGCAGCTGCCAAAAATCAACTTTCAACTGGCACATCCTCCACGAACCAGGGTCACCTCCACACCATGATGAGGCATTGAAGTAGGATTTTAATGGAAGATAAGCCTATGAAACAATAGAGGTCAAAATTGTATTTATAGTGTGTCTGTGATTGGCCTAGGATCCTCTGGCCAACAGAATGGGTAGTTGCTTCACAGAGGGACACAGGGAAGGTGTCCCCCCTGTACCCAAAGTTATCATTCAAAGGCTGTCATGGTGCCTGAATTTCTTTCATTAGAAAATCATTCTTTTACATTAAAGGATTCAGACATTATTGGAAAAGGTAATATTCCTTGCTCCCATCAATCATTAACACTTTGTTATGAATTAATCAGACTGCTTTTTTGGCTTGACAGCTCACAGTACATGGGGCCCTTACAGGGGTAAGTTTTGATTGGGGATCAGAGGTAGTGGGGAAGAAGCCTGGTAAGGCCTGTCTTGAGCAAGGGTAAGGGGAGAAGAAGCGAGAGCTTATGTCTCATAGCTGGAGAACCATTACCAGAAGAGGTTAAGGGCTTTTCTGAACATCATGGCTCCTCAATGACAAGAGGGAGAACTCACTCCCATACTTCTAAGACTCTAGAACCCTAGACAGGACCTCTGGACTGAATATGGGAGAACGGCCTATTAAAAAACACACACGTAATACATAAAATTGAATAGAAACCAAGTATTTTTCATGTCTTTTCAGACTTGTAATAGAGGAACAGGTTTCAGCCTCACCTGAATATCACTTTCACAGCACAGAAATGATATGTCATTTACATGCTATGAGGACCATCTTAGCTCACATTTCTATAGCAATTTAAGGTTTACAAAAACACTTTCCTCACTACTCTGGGAAGTAGGTCATCTAAGTCTTCTAATTCCCATTGTACAGAATAGGAAGCTAGGGCCCAGAAAGAGTGACTTGGACAAGGTGGAACAGCTAGTTAGTGGTAAATAAAGAAAGAACACATGCTCCTGGTAGAATGTAAACCCCTTGAGAAAAAAAAAAACTGTTGATGGTGATCTTATCAGTTTCCATGGGTTTAATCATCTCTATATAAATTATTCCTAGATCCATATATCCCATATATATATATCATATATACATATACACATACACATACACATATATATACATATATATCCTAACTTCACGCCTGAGCTATACATCACCAGCTGCTTTTCAGACATTTCAAATTGAACATCGCATAGTCATCTCAAACTCAACATGTCCGAAACTGAACTCATTATCCTTCCTCTAAAACCTCTTTCAAACATCCCTGTTACTGTCAAGGGCACCACTATCCTCCCCGCTATCCGGACCTGCACCTCAGTGTCATGCTTAACTCCTCAAGCTGTGGCCAGATTTTGTCATTTCTACCTTCCCAGCACCTGCCATATACGTCTCCTTCTTCTGTCTGCTCATACAGCTACCACTCTGATACATGCTTTTATCACCTCATGCCTGGATTACTGCAATAGTCTTCTAATTGGTATCCCTATGTTAAGCCTCTTCCACTTCCAATCCACACTCCACTTGCCTGCCAAAGTGATTTTTCTAAAGGGCAATTTGTCCCATTGTTCAATGAAATCCAATGGCTTCTTATTACCTCCAGGATCCAATATAAAGCCCTATGTTTGGCACTGAAAGCTCTTCATAACCTGACTCCTTCCTACCTTTTCAGTCTCCTTATATCTTATTCCCACTCCCCACATACTCTATAATACAGCTATAGTGGCCTTCATGTTCCTCACAGAGAACACACCATCCTCCACTGTCCCCATACCTAGAATGCTCTTCCCTCTCACCTCCAGCCTCTTAGCTCAAGACTTGAACTCTCAACTGTTTCATAACAAAATAAGCCCATGGTTTCCTTCAAACAGAACACCTGGATTCACTGTTAACATGCCAAGATAATACAGCCACTGCTACTGAAGGCCCAGAAAAGCTAGTTCTTGCCACAAATTTCCTTGGCCCTGTCAAATGGTTCAACATCAGAAACTGATATGATTTTATTGATGGCAATGACACAAAAGAAGAGGCATTATCTTCTGCGGTGCCTATGCAACCCTAAGGACCATGGGACCTTCCCAACTGACTTACAGCTGAAACCTTCCATATCTGTTGTCTCCTCCACTGGAATGTCAGTCCTTGAGAGTGGGGATTGTCTGACTTCTCTGTTTGTACCCCCAACTCCTTACACAGAGAAAGTGCTTCGTTTGTCTTCATTCCTTCATTCAATGAAAGGGTAACTAAACTGATGTAGCTACTCTCATCATCTCTTTTGGGGGTCATAAAACATAAAGCTGGAAGGGACTTTACATCATCTAATCCAATCACCACATTTCACACATGAGGAAACTGAGTCTCAAAGAGGGATTTGCCCACAGTCACATAGGTACTAAATAGCAGAGCTAGTTGTTGAACCTAGGGCCTTGGACTTTTAAATCTAGCATTATTGACATTATATCCCATTGCCCATCATTTAATTTCTCTTTTTTTGTGAGGCAATTGGGGTTAAGTGACATGCCCAGGGTCACACAGCTAGTAAGTGTCAAGTGTCTGGTCTGAGATCAGATTTGAACTCAGGTCCTCCTGACTCCAGGGCCAGTGTTCCATCTAGGCACCACCTAGCTGTCCCCATTTAAGTCCTTTTGATCCAAGCACTGCCATCTCTGGCTGAAGCCAAGTAATACCAGATCCTTTCAAAAAAAAGTTCAATTCATTCCAATTATCATTTATTAGGAACCTATTGTCTACAACGTATTGTTTGCTGGGTACCATGCTTCCTACCAAAGTAAATAAGGCCACGTGTCACTTACCATCTTAGGATTTCTTACCTCACGGTGCCGTAGCTGCAAATTCTGACCCTCGTAATATAAATTGTAGGTCTTCAGATGTACCAGAAGTTCATTTCTTTAAAGGGGGGAAAAGATACACATGAGAAGGCATGAGGTTGTCAAGTGTAATGCAGGCATTCAGTCGCTGAAAAGCTCTTTTCTCACCTCCAAACCAGCCTTGGCTCAGTCTTTTTGAGAAACAGGATCAGTCTTGGGAGAATCAGAGAATGTCAGAGTTGAAAGGGGGCCCAGGGTCATCTACTACAACCCAAATCTGGACAAGAGTCCCCTCTACAATGATGGCTTAGCCAAGGGGTCACCCTTCGCTTCTGCTTGAAGATCTAGAGCAAGGGGCAAGTTACTGCCACACAAGGCTATCTATTCTCCCTTTGGACAGTGTAGTTTTTAGAAAGCTTGTTCTTAAATCTTTTCATTGGCTCTCTTTTGTGGCAGAAGAAAAAGAAAGGAGGAGGAGAGAGAGGGGAAGGGAGGAGGTGGAGGAGAAGAAGGAGAAAGAGAAGGATAAGGAGAAGGAGAAGAAGAAGAAGGAGAAGGAGGAGAAGGAGAAGGAGGAGAAGGAGAAGGAGGAGAAGGAGGAGAAGGAGAAGGAGAAGGAGGAGAAGGAGAAGGAGGAGAAGGAGGAGGAGGAGAAGAAGAAGGAGGAGAAGGAGAAAAAGAAGAAGAAGAAGAAGGAGGAGGAGGAGAAAAAGAAGAAGAAGAAGAAGAAGAAGAAGAAGAAGAAGAAGAAGAAGAAGAAGAAGAAGAAGAAGAAGAAACAGCAGCTAGCATTTACAAAGCACTTTAAAGTTCGCAAAGCACTTTAAATATGTTAACTCATTTTATCCTTGCAATTATTATCCCCATTTCACAGATGGGGAAACTGCGATTGAGAGGAGGTTAAGTCCTTGCTCAAGGTCACATAGCTAGTGTCAGAGGCAGGTTTTTCTGACTCCACGTCCAGCACTCTATCCACTGTGCCACCCAGCTGGCTTATATTATACTAATACTGATCAGCTGAAGGATTTGTTATAGAAATCTACCATTAACAACAAATTTATAGTTATTTAAAAATGCAGTTTCATATGGTTCACAGCATATAGAATTTAGGGAAATTCAACTCCCTCATTTTACCGAGGAGGAAACTGAGGCCCAGGGATGCTAAATGATTTGCCCAAGGTTCCATAGCTAGTAAATGTCAGAGGTAAGATTCAAACCCAGCTCTCTCCTGACTGACAGCGGCCTTCTTTCCATTACAACACCCTACACCCCTCAGGGTCTAACCATAAAGCAGCAGAGGACCCAAGATTATGGGTTTCAGAATTCCATTCTTTCCCCCTTTTGCATTATTCCTCTCCTCATCCTGTAATCTACTATTATTTCACTCTCTGGAAGACTCTCTCCTCAACTTTGCAGATGGAGCCCTTATTTACAGATGACCTTCCTAAATGAAGCAGCATCTCTAGAAAAAGAATAGTGACTGGCTTATTTTTAGTGTTTTTTAAGATTTGCAAAGCACTGTCCATACATCATCTCCTTCGATTCTGTGAACTCTGTGGTTTTAAAAAAAATACCTTAAGATGCTTTCGCTGCTGCTGTCTGCTAAAGCTAATGTAGCTTTTATTCTGGAGTTCCCAAACAATTTTTTTCAATCACTCTGCTGGTATTTCAATCATCTTTCAAAACTAATCTTTGCTTCTTTATGTCTTTCAAAGTCAATGGAGCTGAAAAGAGATCAGGGCAACTCTACCTTTAAACATCATCAGTCAATAGAAACTCAATGATCCATAAGCATTCATTAAACACCTACTATTTTCCAGGCACTGTACTAAGGGCACCTGGCCACAGTGTTGCTTATTGCTTTACTCAGCTGTACTTATTTCTTACAAGGGAAGGTTCTGTTGGGCAAGGAAACATCACTGGGAAAAAGACAGTGACATTAAGGACGAAAGCCTCAAAACATTTTTTCTAAATCAATTTCATTTTTTTTTTCCATTCTGAATTATCTCCTTCCCACATCCCCCTCCTACCACCATTGAGAAAACAAATAAATAAAGTTACCAGTATGTATAGTCAAGTAAAATAAATTCCCACATTAACCAACAGCAAAAAATAAAACAAAACAATCTGCCCTGTGAGCTCATCACCTCTCTCTATCTGGAGGTGGACTGCACGTTTCATCATGAGTCCTCTGGAACTGTGGTTGGGTCCATTGTTATAAAACACCTTTAAAAATTTAAAGCATGATCTTAAAAATTATGGCCTTTAATAAAAAAAAATATGGCTTTCACTCTGAATGCAAGAGTTTTCCTTTTAGTGTGTTCCTTATATGGCAATGGAAATCATCATCATCCTCCTCCTCATAATTAGCATTTACATAGTGCTTCAAAGTTTGCAAAGCACTTTACAAATATTAACTCATTTTATCTTCACAACAACCCTGAGAGATGGGTGGGATTATTTTCCCCATTTTATAGACATGGAAACTGAGGCAGACAGAGGTTAACTGACTTGCCCAGGGCCAACCAGTTAAGTGTCTAAGACCTGATTTGAACTCAGGTCTTCCTGCCTCCAGAGCTAGCATTCTACCCACTGCACCACCTAGGTAGTTTCCAAAGTTCTAGACTTGGGTTATCTCTAACTCTTCCTCTCACTCCCAGATCCAATCAGTTATTAAGTCTTGTCACAAGATCTCATATCTATCTGTTCCGCCCTTTCTCTTTTCCCATAGCCAACTCCCTAATGCAGGCCCTCATTACCACTCATTACCAAAGGCTCTAACAGGTAATCATGACTTGACTTTCTCCCTTTTTCCAAACCGTCTTTTTGCAATACAACCAGACTTGTTTTCCTTGTGCATGGAAATAGTCACATCAATACCCTGCTGAAAATTCTGCAGTGGCTCCCTGGTACCTTCTTGGCCAAACTCAAACTCCTTGACCTACCCTTCCATTCAAGGCCCTCCACTACCTGGCACATGGTCATCAAAATCCAAAATAAAAACTTCTGTTTGGTGACCAAAGCCCTTCACAAGTTGGCTGCTTCTTACTTTTCCAATCTTCTAATACTTTATTCCCTTCCATGCTACACTTGCCATCCCTCCCTGCTCTCCATCTCTCAGCTTTGGGCCTAAGTACTGGTAATCTGCTCCCCATGCCTGCTCTCTCCTCACCTCCGACCCTGGCTTCCTGAAAGATGGAATTCAAATTCCACCTCGGGCAGAAGGCCTTTCCCAGCCTCTACCCCTACTCCCACTGACTAAATAGGAAAAGTGAGATCCTTGGGGCAGGAATCCTCCTTTGCTATCCTTTGTATCCACCATTCCTGGTACAAAGGCAGCCTTTAATAAATGCTCATTGACTGACTACCCTTCCAACCTCAAGCCATATTATCTAATGTTCCCTTCATACGCTACCCTCAAGCCAAACCAGACTATTTCTGTTTTCTGTACACACCTTGAATTCCTGCACTCTCCATTCTTCATATTTTTGATGAGGCTGTGCCCTGCACCAGCATTGGTGGTAGCTTGAAAAAGGAGCTCCAGAGACTGTTCATCAGTGTCCTCTTTGTAGACATCAAACCAACAGAACTCTGTCTTCTCTTCTGGCCATTTAAGGGGTATGAAGGGTCACTGAGCAAACTCACATCTAAGCAGCCTGTAGGTTTTGTGACTTTGACAGCCATGCTGGGGCAGAAGCAGCCAAAAAATGCATTGAATGGTATCCGTCTTGACCCCAAGAACCCACAGATCTTATGGTTAGAGTTTGCCAAGGCCAACACTAAACTGGCGAAGAACAAACTGATGGCAACACCAAATCCCACCAGCATTCACCCTTCCCTGGGTGCACATTCATCACAGGGACCCCTATGATCTGATGGGAGCTGCTCTGGAGGCCTGGACCCCTCACCCATGGGGCTGACCCCTGCCACCCCACCTGCTGCATTCACCTACCCAGCTGCTGCTGCTGCCACTGCCCTGCATGTTCAGATGACTGGTACCCTCCCTCTGAAGCCACACAACAAGCATGGAAATCTCATCAATTCTGCTGGTCCTTCAGTAAGTGCTGGTCCTGAGGACAAATGATGCTCTTCTTGCTTTCTCCTTTCCTTCTCTCCAGCCCCTTCTTGTCCCCCAATCTCAAGCCCTGGTTGAACCCTGGTGCCCTTGATCTGAATTTATTTCACTGGATGATTAATGAGCAGGTGCTCTCCTCTGATGCGGCAGCCTCTTCTGCCTTCCCCTTCCCTTGTGCCACGTCCATGCCTTCTAGCAAACCAAAGGAATCTTTGGCCTTCAAACCCCAGTGCCTAGGCCCTGAGCCTCTCCACCAGAGCTGCCAGTCAGTATTGGTCAATTAAGTATGTCGGGTGGATAGAGTCCTGGACCTGGAGTCAGGAAGACTTCAAAATCCTCCCTCCGATATGTATTAGGCTGTGTGACTCTGGGCAAGTCATTTCACTTCTATTAGCCTCAGTTTTCTAATGGGGATGAGTAATAATCATCGACCTCCCAAGATCGTTGAAGATAAAATGAGCTAATATTTGTAAAGCTTTTTGCAAACTTTGAAGCATTATATAAATACTAGCCATTTTATTGTTGTTATTTGGGCCTCACTGGTTTCTTATCACAAAAAATAGACATGCTCATTATTATATCCTGGTGTGCCCCTCCTTTTTTGCTCTTAGTAATCCACTCACTACCACCTATTTCCCTTCTCAAGTCTTGCTGCAACAGCTTGAAAGCCCCAGCCTGAGTCCCCACTGGAGCATCCATCTGGGGAGAAAGCCACAGAGTCAATTTGCACCTTGTTTTAGTGGGTACCAGCATCAGTGCTTGGCACTCCTATCACCTCTGGCAGCCCTCCCAAGGGTGCTGCCATCTGTCCTTTTTGATGAGGCTATGCCTTCTATCCCCTTCTCTGCTGCCAGCTGAAATCCTATCTATTCCTTAAGGTCCAGAAAAAAGCCACTTCCATAAAGCCTTCTCTCATCACTCCATGGTCAGCTAGGTGGCACAGTGGATAGAGCTCCAGGCCTGGAGTCAGGAAAACTCATCTCGCCGAGTTCAAATCTGACGCT